CCCGCCCCCGGCTGCCCCCTGCCGGGCTGTCCCCGAACCCCTTCGTCCCCATCAGTCTCCGGCCTCCGTCACGCCACGTACCCCACCCCCCCGTCGCCTCCTGTCACCCCCCCATCGTCACCCTCGGTCGTCACCCCCCCGTCGTCACCCCCTCGTCACCGTCACCCCGAGGCGGGGCTGGCCAAGGCACTGAGCAGCCTCCTGCCTTCGCCCCCTGTGGCCCTCAGTAGGTTCCAGAGTGAACGCCCCACTCCTCCCCGCCAGCCACCACCTTAGGGCAGGATTTAAATAGGCAGAAAAGGCTCAAATTTTGGCACTTTTGCATTTTTCGCCTCGATGGACCCCACGCCGCCCCGGTAGCCCTCTTGGGGCTGCCCCAGCTGGGGGGGAGGGGAAAGGAAGCGCCTCCCTCCTGCACCCCCCGTGCCACCCCGAAAAATCTGTAATTAGACCGAACGGCATTAATACCTGGTGCCGTCGTTAATTAATTACTCCCAGAGCAGCAGCTGGGCTGGGGGTGCCCGGCTTCCCCAGCACGCTGCCACATGTGTGCAGGTGTGTGCAAGCATGTGTGAGCATGGGGGCGGGTGTGCAAGACTGTGCAAACGTGTGCACGTATGTTGCAAGCACGTGCGTGTGCACGTGTGCGTGCCTGTGCAAGCCTGTGCGTGTTTGTGTAAGCGTGTGCAAGCATGCACACGTGCATGCACGGTCAAGTGTGTGCAAGCGTGTGCATGCAAGCATGTGCGAGCATGTGCAAGCACATGCATGTGCTGCAAGTGTGTGTACGTGGTTGCAAGAATGTGCACATGCGTGCAAGAACATGCAAGAGTGTGCACGGGCACATGCAGCTTCATGCCCGTGTGACAGTGCGTGAGTGCTTGCATGCATTTGCATGTGTGCATGCGTGTGCGCAAGCACGTACAGGAGTGCATGTGTTTGCAAGTGTGCATGTGCACGTGTGTACACACGTGTGCACGAGTGCACGTGTTTGCAAGGACCCATACGCATGTGTGTGCAAGCATGTGCATGAGTGCACGTGTTTGCAAGCGTGCACACGCCTGCAAGCGCGCGCGTGCAAGCATACGCAAACATACGCAAGCATGTCGCAGTAAAACCCACTGGACGGGGACAGCGCCCAGGGTGGGCACCCACGGGTGGGTTTTGGAGGCGCGGAGCGTAATCCTGCCGAAATCCGGGGGCTCAGCGGCTGTTCTTCACCGCCGCTTGGGTTTATTTTTAAACCCGTTGGCCCCGAGTGATTCACACGCTGCCTGTTCTCCTCTGCTCCCCGGCAAGTTTTACGCGACCAAAATAGATGTTCTGGAAGGAATGGGCCGCGCGGCGAGGCCGCGGCGGAGGAAAGCGGGGTGCTCCCTCCCCACCGACAGGGATCCCGGCCAAGATGGTGGTTTGGGGGAGATGCTGGCGCAGACCCCCCCCCGGGAAGCAGGGCCGTGGATACTAACCCCCTTCCTCCATGCCTGGCACCCCCTCAGAGCCCAAAGCGCTGCAGCCCGGCAGCGAACCACAGCGTCTGAGCTGTCCTTCCCCTGGTGCGGCTGCGGGCAGAGCCAGGCAGAAGCGGCCACGCAGAGGTGGAGCAGATGCCCGGGTCTAAAGCACCGGAGGCCACCCGCCTGGACCAGAAGAGAAAGCTTCTGCTCCCCAAATACCCCCGAGGTTTTTCACGCTGCAGAGCGATGCTTCCCAAAGCCAAGGGAAGCATTTTGCCCCAGGATACAGGAAGGCAGCCCTTCCCCTCCCAACCCGAGTGGGGGGGGGATCCCTCTACCCCAAATCTGGCTAAATTTCCCTGCTTAAGGGTGGCTGGGCTTCACAAGCTTTTTTTCCCCCCTTTAAGATGTATCACTTCAGAGGAACAGTGTTTGGGTATCCTTTCGCAGGAGGGTAAAGAAGTGCAAGACTTGACAATTTCTGAATATTTTTAATGCAAAGTTAATACTGTATTTTTAAAGTTCAACAGTAAAAGGTTTCCAGCCATAACAACAGATCTCACTCATTTAAGACCGAGACACACATACAACAGTCCCATCAGCCAGGATTTCTCCTCGAGAGATCACCCCATTCCAGCTGGACAGGGTTTCCAGTGCAGCAACCACAACCATCAAAGGACAAGAACCACGGCTGTCCCAGCTCTGCGGGACAGTAGTACCACCACTCTCTTCTCCAAGGAGGATACTATCCAAACCAAACCCCTCTGGATGTAGGAGACCTGGAGCTGAGCTCCCCACCCCAAGGACAACAGTGCCTGCGCTGTTGGAGGATGGATCAGTTGGCCAAATCTTGAGCAGACGCAACAGCTGATTGAAGAGCTGAGCAGTGACTCCGTAATATCTACACACCGCTCACACCAGGTTTGCAAGGTCTCCTTGGAGAAGCTTCAGACTGTCTTCTTCTCGGGATAAGCCAGAAGAGGAGATGGCTGCAGACACGGTTTAGGACAGCAGAGACGGTGGCTTGCAGGCAAGCCTTCTGCCCGGACGTAGGCAGAGAGAGAAGAGAGAGAGACAAGGAGAGGAACCACCACCACAAAGTTGACCGCTGGTGCACGGAAGGCCACAGAAGCAAACCCAAGGTGGGGTGTCACCTGTCCTGGCACAGGTAGTGCCTTGGTCAGGTGCAGACGGTGGGAGGTCAAGGTGAAAAAACTGGGGGAGCCCACACCTTTTCATCACCTTCTCTCTGCAGGGACGGAGTCTGTGATAATGGCAGAGATTAAACACCGTTTATCCAGCTGAGCAGGCACCCAACAAGCTCTGGAGCCACCAGGATGATGCTCCTCCATCGGCATCTCCGGAGCAAGCCCTATCCATCTCCTGCTAACAATAACCCTTGCACAGTCTCCCAAGCTCCAGCTGAGCATGAAAAGGCACCTTTTTTCCTCTTTGGGGTCATTTATTTATAGATTTAAAGAAATAAAAATAGAAAAAGAGGTGAAGAGTGCACACTAAGGAAAAAAAAAAGTTCATTGCAACAAAGCAAGAGCAGAAGCTGGGGGTGGGAAGGGGTCCCTCTGCCAAGCCAGCAGCTTTTGAGAGAGAGGGATCGTTCCTCCTGTGTGCAAAGTGACCGAGGGCAGCAAGATTCTCCCTTCAAAACCCGCCGAATTCATTTTCACAGTATCCTATGTAGAGAGGCTGCGCCTGGACACCACGCCTGGAAAGAGAGCATAGAAATGGCATTAGGCAGAGGGCACAGGCAGAGCCCACGGTCAGGTTTGAGCGGTTCAGGGAGTACAGGGTGGCCATTGGTGCCCGGTTTCAGATGTGACAAGGAGGAAGCCATTTTCATCCTGCACTTATAGACTGTTTTTTTGCTCACGTGTAGGAGCACGGGGAAAGGGCAGGTTCCCTGGGGAAGATGGTGCTGCAGGAGGAGTGGCAATAGCTGACGGGTCCCCCTTCCTCGGCACAAAGCCCTCTCCTCAGAAGAGCCACCAACCCACGCCGGCAGCAGGGGCTCTCTTCCAGCACTGCACAAAGCAAGCTCTGCCCACACGCAGGCAGGAGAAAGGCTCGGGATTTTCAATAAAAACAAGGGTCACTTTGCACCAGGGAAAGCCCACTTCACCCTCGCTGCCCTCCCCAGGGTCAAATCCCGGAGAGGGTGGCCTTTGCACTGTCCCCATGAGCCAGCATCCGGCTGTGAGGAGGGACGGTTACCTGAGAAGCTTGCAGCGAAAGTCGGCCAGCCGCACGTAGGCATCTTGCAGGTCCCTGACAGTCGCGTTACTCCACAGTCTCTCGGCTACGGCCCCAGCTCTCGGCCTTGAGGAACGAGGGACAGGGGCAGTTGGGTCAGGGGGAAGTTCAAAAGCTTCTCGCACAAAGCCCTGAGCTCCCAACACTTTCCCAAACGAAGTCCTTCACCACACAAAGGCACATGGCTTCTGTATATCAAAAGATCCAGTCCTAGAGACATGTGGATCAGGAGTGCACCGGGTGACAGGAGAGACCAGCAATGAACACATACTGGTTGCAGCAGCAGGTTGTACAGGAGCACGTTAGTCTTACAAACCCTCATTTAAGCCTCAGTGAAGCTGTTACTAGCACAGAGGCGCTGCCAGGGGACAGGGACAAGCACCACACGCGGACCAAACCTGCGGCGTTTGGCACACGTCGCTCAGTGGTGAAGGAGAGGGGCCTGAGCCCTGCCCCATGCGACTCGAGCTAACCTCCCCACGGCTTCCCTTACCAGAGCCTGGGGGCCAGGTTAGTGACGTCCACGTATTCGCCCCACATGCACGCCTCTCCGCCGATCACCCGATCCTTCTGCTCAGGGCTGCCTGCCAGAGGACACAGCATTCAGGTGATGGGGTGTTGTAAAATAACAGGGTGACTTAGCACCCTGCCCACAGAGGCGCCTGTAACAGCAGTGAGTGGCTCAGCTACAGAGGCAGTAACTTGCCCTTCTGGAAGCCCCTGCTTCAAACCCCAGGCTGGGGGAGAGCAGAGTTGTTTTCTGCTGGCAGCAAGGGAACAGGACATAGCACAGGAACCAAGGACACAGTCCCTCAAGCACCTTCACAGCAGCAGAGAGAACAGATTAGCAAGACAGCCAAACCTAGTGCTACCTCTGAGTGACAAGTCAGCTGCCATACGGGAAGGGGATGCAAGGAACACACCTTCGAACTTCAAGGGCTCCACCTGGTAGGCTGCCATCCAGTCCTGCCCATAGGAGATGCGGTTGAGGTACCAGGGGGCAGAGAGCAGAGCCCGGTAGCCAGCCTTGGTGACATTCGCCATCTCCTCCATGTACGGTATGGAGTTCTCCTTCCACACGTGGATGATGGTATCTGGCCTCACCTGAAGAGCACAAGCGAACCCCATGCACGGGATCAGTGCAACAGCAAGAGCACCTCCCCCTGCAAGCAGAGTGTTCTGACTCATCCACAGCTCTGAACACCCTCAAAGGGAAACTGAAGCAGACTTTGGCTTGACTTTTGAGCCACTTCCCATCTGGTTTGCAGAAGCAGAGGGAGGGATAAGCCCATTTGCAGAGTGTCCTGGGCAGGGGTAAAACCTGCCTCTTGGAGGTATATATACACCTGTATATATGGAGGGAAGAGACCGTTGACAGCAGTGTGACAAAGCCACCATGAGGGCAGCTCACTGGCAGCACCATCTCAAGATCAAGCCCAGTCCCATAACAGAGTACCCCCTGCCGCCCCCAGCATGGCACCACCAGAGCACACCAGTGCGTCTGGCTGGATTGCTGGTGCTGTTCACCCCAGCACAGGCAACTGCATTAGGGAAAGCAGGCAGCTCTCACCTTCACTCTGTTGTCAAAGACCTCCTGCCACACAATGTAACCTTTGCTGAGGGAAGAGATGATATCCAGAAGCCTGGAGCGGAAAGAGCATTGAGTTTTGGGTCATTCCAACTACACTCCCCTCTCTTTGCTGGTTGCATACAGCCAAAGCAGCAGCCCCAATATTCCCAACACCCACAGTGGGACGTGAAGGTACTTCTGAAGGAGAAGGGAGAAAGCATGGCCCCTTATGGGACTTCTTTCTCCTCAGTCCCAGGCTTTTTTGTGGTCAATCTCCCAACGAAACGCAGCTAGGCTACTCCCCTTGGGGTCAGGGAGACAGGCCACAATGGGCATGCTCCTGAAAAGGAGATCTGGTGTCCCTGAGACAGCAGAAGACATTTGTGCTGGTCACATACTGCAGCTGCAGGCCCAGGATGCAACCATCCTTACCTCTGGATGTAGAACGACTCTAATTTTTTGTAATCTTCACCAAAGCCCATCTCCTTCATGAAGGCACGAATTTTCGGATTGGACTTCCTGTGTACCAAAGAGAAGAGAAGAGAATAAAAGCACTGCAACCCAAGCTCTGGAGTAAAGCCAAGACACGGCCAAGTCCTTCCCACATCGGTCCAAGGCTAGCCCACACATTCCAAGAGCTGTGGCTGTACCAGCACCAGCAGCTTCCCACAACGAGTGTCACCATGCACACAGAAACCCCAGGCACCAACACACAGAGCCTGGAGGAGCAGGACACCAAAGATCTGCAGATGATCATGACCAAAAAGCAATGGGCTGCAGCCCCAGTCCCAGATACTTTCCCCCCAGTCCCCATGCAGACTGATCACAGACTCACCAGCAGGTGAAGTCCACCTCATCACCACCAAGGTGAAGAAAGAAGTCTGGGAACACAGCGCTGACCTCTTGAAACAAACTGGTCACAAACTGGTAGGTGCTGTTAAGAATGGGGTTGATGGGCCCATAGGTCCCAGAAGGATCCTTGCCCAAATAGCAGGGAGTCAGGAGGCCCGGAGCACCTGGCTCGTAACAAACACAGGACAGTGAGGAAGGGGCTAAATGTGGCCATATGCACCGTATAACCCCCCAGACCCTCCTCAGCACAGCCCAGTGCCAGTCGTGAAGACAGAAGACCTGGACATGGCACACAAGACACAATCACAGCAGCAGAAACATGATCTCTGGCTCAGGAAGCCTGATCTGATGGGGCGGGATCTGTGTTCTGCACTCATCTTGTGCTCCCCCCACGCACATCCACTACCGCCGCAAACACACACTTCCAAGTGAGATCAGAGCTCGAGCCTTTTAGGCTGGACCCCCCTTCCCCCCCCCGCAACTGCTACTCTGAGGATGGGACACAGACACACCAAATCCTTGCAGGATGCTAGTTTCTACCCTTCCCGGGTTTCTCCTTGGTATCTCTCCCCACTGCTTTTTGGGGGATATTCCTGTGGGAAACCACACACAGACCTGCTGGGGAAAGATAACAACGGTGTAGTCCCCCACCCTCTCCCAGCTTCATGCACCCGCTGCAGACAGGGAAGGGTGGCAGCCACAGTTTTGGTTGCAACCACGTGCACAGGGTGTACTCCACAGTGTGGGTCATGGCATTTGGAGGCAGGGGAAGGAGAGAGCAAGCTAGGACAACGTTTTCCTGGAGCCTCTCGCGCTTCCAGACACAGAAGAGGAGACACTTGCAGTCCTTGGAGCAGGGAGCAGTGTGTCAGGACTGGCGCGTGGCTGAGCAGAGCAAGGAAGCTTGGTTAAACGCAAGATGCTTGCAATTGCCCATAATGTTGGTTTTGGCAGAGCAGGTGTTCCCAAAAAGTCACCCAGCTTGGACTCAAGAAGAGATGGAAACTTTTTCCCTTTGAATATTGTTCCAGAAGTCGGACCATTGGGTCCTACTTCCCCCAGACGATGCTCTGCTCCTCCTCAAAGCCAGCCCATGGGACGCAGCTGCCCACACCTGGCTTTTGGGATCCAGGTTGCAGATCCCCTTCCTCCCGCCCATACAACTACAACTCTCCTCACAGCAGCAGCAGGCAGGGTCTGCTCCTCACCTGGACCCCAGGAGAGGGTGTGCCCAGGAGTGTCAAACTCTGCAATGACTCTGATGCCACGCAGCCGGGCATACTCAATCACTGTCTGCACGTCACTGGCTGTGTACACGTGGGTCATAGCATTGAAGGCTCCCTGGGGGAACACAGGAAATCTCAGAGCCTTGCTCAGGTGCCGAGGGAGGGATCTGCTCCCCCTGGGCTGCGCGCTACATGGTGATTGGGGTGGGTTACCTGCTTGCTGAGCTCTGGGAAAGTCAAGCTCTCATAGGGGAAAGACGGGTCGTCCACAATGTGCCAGTGAAACACATTGAACTTGTTGTAAGCCATGACATCCTGGAAAGGAACAGGAACAAAGATGAACACGCCCTGTCCCTTCTGAAAGATCACCCAGCTTGCCAGAGAAAGGGGACAAGGTCCTTGTTCTCCAAAAGGACAAAGAAAGCAAAGTCCTCAAATGCTCCCCAGATCCAGGAGGGATTCAGACACCTCCCTTCAAACACATCAGCACTACAAAGAGCTGCAGAGGGCCAGTAGTGCTTCTGCTCACAATAAAATCCCTGTTCTCCCTATAACTGAACCAATGGTGGAGACCTGGAAGTTTAATTCTGCTTGGGAAGAACACAGAATGACCACCCACCTCCATCTAACGTGGCTGGGATGAAGCCAGTGTTTTCCTTTGCCTCAGAAACAACCCAGCCTCGAAAAGTAATCCGGATTGCAAGAATCCAAGGTACCCCTCAGGGTTTTCTTCCTTATCCTATTTACAAAGGGAGCTGAGAAATCACTCAAATGAGGCAGCTGAGAGTTACACCGTGAGCAAACCCAGCCATGGGCACTGGGCAGGACCTACAGCACAGAAGCATCTTTCCATGATGCACGTCTGTATATTAAGAATTGAGGTCACGCAGCATCCCACCCCAGCCTGCTGCTTCATCTAGGTACAAGCAAGCTGGTTTTGTTCAAAAAGCCTAGGTTTGACAAGCTCTTCCTCAATGAGATGTAGATGCAGTAGCCTATGCATTAGACAGCTCCTAGGATCTTTGGAAAGAAGCAACACAAAAAAACCCAAAAAGCCCTCCAGGCCACTCAAGGAGCCTTCAGTTGTTGCAGAGGAAGGGACACCCAACTAAACCACCTCACCTCCCAGCACAGGCACCCTACCAGAGTTTCCAGGATGGCTCTCAGGGGCAGGTAGTGACGAGAGGTGTCCAGCAACAGTCCCCGGTGAGGGAAGCGGGGAAAATCCACAATTTCTGTCTTGTTGATGTAGTACTGCACACAGAGAACATGAGGAAGAGGCGAGCAGGGCTTTGGGCAACACAACCATTAGCAGGAGACAATCAGGGTTACCTTTGTCTCCCAGGGCTGGTGAGACAAGGAGGGGTACCCTCACTACCCAGGGTGCAAGCTAGCCAGAAAGAGCTGCAATGCTTTACTCGCTCAGAAGGCAGGATTCTGGCTGGATTCATGAATCTTGACTTGGCCCTTGGTAAGGCCATGCTGCACTGCTGGTACCCCCCTCACCCCGAGCATCCCAGCAATCCTCAGCCTGTCCCCACGGAGGCAGGAGCATTATGGAGAGCTGACTGCCCTCAGGAGATGAGGCCAGGACTCACCGTGCCGTTCTCATCTCTCCCAACGAGCTGGCTGAATGTTTCCAGGCCTGCAGGAAAACCACACACAGTCCCTTTCTCAGCACAGATTCCCCCAAAGGAATAGAGCTCAATTAACAAATAAGTCTACGGAAAGAGAGAGGCAGAGAGAGACATCCCCATAGGCCTGAGGCAGGGAGAGCGGGAATGCCCCACAGAAAGCACACCTCACCTCTGAGAGCTCCCCAGACAGCATCCGCAGAGAGCAGCAAGGAGCCTTCCAAGACAGACAGCTTATCTGAAACACAGCATCAGAGGGGCCACTGCTGGCATTAGGTCCCACGCTCCATCACACACTGCTATGGGCCATGACAGCCCCAGCTACAGGGTTACAGCAGCACCAGGCAGGAGTTTTGATACAGGACTGCACCCTGGGATCCCAGAGAACAGATTTTGGGGTTTCTTTTTTTGTTTTAAACTTCTCCCACTGCTTTATCAGCATCCTCAGGTAAGTTGCTCCCTCCTTTCCCCAGTTTCTCAATAACACAGTAAGGATGGCTGGCTCCCTAAAACTGGGGGTAAGTGCTGCAAAGTGCTATTTCTAAGGGGCACAGAAACAGCCACGCTCCCGCTCCAGTCACTTCTGCTCCCAATCTCTGTACTTACAGCTCTCCTTGGAGTCCAGGCTGGGAAACCCATCACAGCCCGGTGTGGCAACAAAGACCAGGAGCTGAGTGCAGGGCATCCCCCAGGATGGCTCATTCTCTGCAAAGGACACAGACCACGGACATCAACCCCATCCTTGCTCTTTTCCCTCCTTTCCATCCATCGCCATCCTCCCAGCCCCGCTAGCGATGGAGGCGCAGGAGTACATGGACTTTTAATACACGTGGCAGAAACGGACACACCCCCCCCCTTCACTCCAGAGGAGGCACAGGGGTGTTAAGCAGGGGCTTCTTTCAACACAGGCAACCAGGAGCACATCAGCTGACCCTAACCTTCAGCACGGAGAAGGTCTGCTGGTGAGGAGGCCCCCCAGGGAAGGCTTTGCAGTGGAGCTTAAAGGAGCACACAGAAGAGGAGAGACATCAGAGTGTGGTCTAGTAGCAGCCCCCAAGGCTTCCTGGACACCAGCCCCTGCTCTAAGCTACAGCTGCGACTACTCAAATCTTACCCAGTGGGGGTGAAAAGCTTCATGTTTCCAAACTCTCCCAGCACCAGGAAAAAAGCACAAACCCAAGAGCTCTGCTACCCTACCCACACTTCTTAGAAAGGGCAAAGAAACCCTGTAAAAAAGGGTGGAGAATGAATCCAAGCATACTGCAGAGTCGGGCTGAGTTAGAGGCCACCAAAAAGTCTCACCCAGCACAGAAAGGCTTCACCTTCTGCAGAGCAGGTCCCAGGCGCAGCGGCTAGAAAAATAAACCCATCCACATTCAGACCCCAAGCAGGAGCTCTAGCCACGCTTCCCTATGTGAAGGAGCACTTCCAAGGATGCACAGGCCCGAGTCCTCACTGGAGTCACTCCCCCAGCCCAAAAGGGACGTGTTCAGCCTTCGCTGAGACACATGGGGCTACTCACAGCAGTCTCTGGCCAGGAGGAGCATGGGTTAGTGGAGTGGGACCCTGCTAATCACAGCCAAGGTCCACGCCTACACCCTCACAGCATTCCCAGGAACAGCCAATGCTCAATATGGTCCCTAAAAAATAAAAATCTTGGCTTTGAGTGAGCCTGGTCAGAAGCCAGGCACCAAGCAGACTTCAGAGAGACCATGGCACCACCAGTGTTCAGGTGAAATGCAGAGAGCCTGTGCTCCAAAGCTCGCAGGAGCCAGAACCCCCACATTTCTCCAGGAAGGAATGGTGAAACCTCTGCAGAGAAAAGGGAAATGGCTTGAAGATAGCCCTCTGTTTTGAGCTTTCCTCTCCGTTACAGACGAGCCGGTAGCCAAGGCAACCTTGCAGATGTGAGAGCTGGCGCGCCAGCACAGCAAGACCTTGCTCCCTCTGCTCGGCAAGACAGCAGCTCACCAGGGACAGCCACTATCAAGCCTGGGGACACGGGAAATACTCATTCTATTGAGAAGCATCAACAGAATTGATCCCACCACCACACACCACGTTTAAACCCGCCCAGGGAGACATTGCCAAACCCGAACATGGCCTCCTCGGCCAAGGAGCAGGCAGGCACCACCACTATCACACCTAGAAGGCAATGCAGATGGGCACAGCAGGGGTCAGTGACACATCAACCACAAAGGCTGAGGTTCATGGTTTAAAAGAGCGCTGTGAAGGCACACGTCAAGTTAATTATGGTCATAGACTGGAAGACAAGGACGCTAACGCAATGACTGCAGCAGGTTAGCAGGAGAAGACATCAGAGATGGAGGGTCCTGGCTCTCTCCTGGAGTCGTTTAGGAGCTGCCCAGCTTAAGGACAAGGGAAAAGCAACAAGGGAAATCGCAATCAGAGAGAAGGAAAAAAATTCTTTACCTTGAGGGTGGTCAAACACTTCAGCAAGGGGTCAGTTCTCCATCCTTGGAAATACCACAATTTCAGCTGGACACAGCCCTGAGAAGCTTGACCCAACTGCAAAGTTGGCTCTAACTCCAGCTTTGGCCCTGTTTTGAGCAGGGGCTTGACCAAAGACCCTCATATGTCCCTCCTAACTTAAATTAGTCTCTGTTTTCATGCTTGAAGTCCAGGATGAATGCAGAATTTGGACATAATCTTGCTTGCTTGTTGAACTGACACAGCAGCTTTCCAAAACAGACAGAAAATGGTTTCTGCCTTTTATTTTCTCTATTAATAGAACCTATTTCTTTCCATCCAGGGTTTCCATTGCCTGTTGTTACTAACCACCCATGTTTAAAAAAATAAGGAAGGCAAAGAGGGAAAAAAGCCCTAAAATTAATTGTGTAGTTTGAGTGTCACAAAGCAGGGTGTATGGAAAGTGATGAGTATAAGCTCAATCTCGAGATCACAGAAAATTGCTCGATGTGATGGTCATATTTCCCCTCCAAGAGGAACGGGAAAATGTGAATAACTGTATCAGCTGTTTAAAGTTTAGCTCCTAGCAGCAAAAAAGAAACAAGAGGAGTCTTCTCAGCTCCCAAATCAAGATTTATTTCTATTGCTACTTACAAGAGTTGAAGAAATAAAATAAGCCAAACAGTTCTTCTCAGTGTTTCAAACTTGCCTTTGTCAAAGCACGACGTGCTCGAGACGAAGCAAAGCGGCTTCCAACACTGTTACCCTTCTCTGCTTTGATCAGTGGCGGCAGAGTTCACACTGGCATTTAAAATGCTTGGAGGCAGAGTAACTAGCTCTTTTTGATGAATGAAGCGTTTCATATTCCCCAGATACAGCACTTCAGGCTGCCGCAGACCCACGCAGGCACTGAGCATCCGTGCGTGGCCGGCTCCCCAGCCTGTGTTTGCCTCTGCAAATGCAGCCAGAGAATTTCCTGCATTTCACCCCAGACATGCAATGGGTGCTGTCAAGAAGTCCAGGCCCAAGAAACCTTTACAACCTATCAACAAATCAAGCCCAGGCTCTTAAAGCTTTTGCCTTTCCTCATCTCACCCTACAATTTCAGGATGAATCTCTGCCAGAAAAGCCATGCTGCCTCGGGATGCGTAACAGCTTAACTTTGGCAGAGAGAACCCCACGGCACAAATACGTACTTGGAAGAAACACATGTGAAGCAACAAAAGTCTTTCCTCAAGGTAAAGCTTCACACTGGATACCAAGAACTGCTAGAAAAGGCAAGAGCCAAGACATGCAAAAAGCACTGAAGCTGGAGCAACTGCAACACCGGTGGCAGCAGCTCTCCCTGCAGTTGCAAGAAAAGGAAGCAAAACGAAGTGCTGGGGAGCTGAAACACGATCTGGAGGAGATAAAAAATGAGATAGAAAGAGCAAACTCTTGATAGCAAAAGCCTAACTCCTTGAAAGAAATGGAAGACAACTAGTGCTCACTGTGCCAAACAGGATTAGATTTTATTTTAAAATGTGCGTGCCACAGGCATTGACCTCCACGTACGAGCGCAATGCTGCCCTTTGCTACAAGACTCGATTCAAGCCACCGCGCCATCAGACCACAGCTACCACCTCCCCTCGCCACCAGCCCCTGCCGAACTGAGGAAATAAGGGGGTCTAAAAGCAGACCACCACACAAACCCCATGGTCTGAGCCCCCAAATAAACGAGGGTTTGGGTTTGTGGTTTTTTTTTTAAGAATAAAGCCACACGTGAAAGGGCCAACCGCCCTTCCAGCGGGCCGCAGAGCCCCCCGCCCCGCCGGCAGCCCCCGCCCCGCCTCACCGGTCGGGCGGGCGGCGGCGAAGAGCAGCGCCCAGTACCGCTGGAAGGCCGCCTCCAGCACGGCGCAGCCCGGCCCCACAGCGGAGCCGGCGGCGTAAGCGAAGCGGAAGCGGCGGGGAGGCAACGAGCAGCGACCGCGGCCCGGCGGGTAGCCCTCGACCTGGGGCTGCGGCCACACGGCGGCCGCCGGCTCCAG